CTCTCCCCTGGTTCAAGCTTTTCTTTGGTCTACTCTGTCTCTACTTAAGCCTAATCATAGCTACTACTTCATTGCCATTTTGTACTTCATTGTCAGTCCCCAACATCTTCCTTCCATCACATTGTTGCGGTAGATAATGCAGATTACAGGAGCTGCACTGCTTGTGTGTTCTGCAGAATGCCTAGCAAAAACAACCACTGATACTAAATAAATGTCTTGTTCCTGTAGTTAAGTTCATTCAGTAGGTATTTCTGCATTTTTCTCAAACATTAAATCATATTGACTTATCTTAACATCAAAAGCTTCCTGTAGAAACTGCCTAGCATCTAGCATAATTTATTTGACATCAAACATCCACACATCCTTCCTCCATTGCTGTAGTCATCAAACTTTTTCAGTCTGTGGGTACATTTGGAATTTTGAGAGAGTGCCCTAGGTACCACTCTCATTGATTGCTTCTCTCCTCAAAGTCACACCTCCAAGAAAGTGCACGCGTACACACACACACACACACACACACACTTCACTTCCCCTGGGGTCCTAGCAAAGTCAGATTTAGTAGAATTAAAATAATTCCTCTTGAAATTGCACGATTTTACACACTATTCAGCCATCAAGCCATAAAATCAAAGCTTAAATCAAAGCAAGCGAGTGCACAGTAAAAAGAAATCACAGATCCACTACATGCCAGCAATAGAAAAAGCCATCCATTTTTCATTTGGTATTTGCACAACTAGGTCCATTCCCATGGCATTTTTGTGTACAATAGATTGCCATATTCTAGTGTTATTAGACCTTTGAAAATTGAGGAAGCTATGCCCTGAGAGAGTGGAGAGAAGTTAACAAAGATGTGCTCTATTGCTGCTAGTTTCCTGTTTGCTTGAGTGGAAATGTCTGGGTTTAACAGGAAACCTAACAGCTGGTTGAAGTGGTACCATGCGGATGGCACTGTGGTCTAAACCACAGAGCCTAGGGCTTGCCGATCAGAAGGTCGATGGTTCATATCCCCGTGACGGGGTGAGCTCCTGTTGCTTGGTCCCTGCTCCTGCCAACCTAGCAGTTCGAAAGCACATCAAAGTGCAAGTAGATAAATAGGTACCACTCCGGCAGGAAGGTAAACGTCATTTCCATGTGCTGCTCTGGTTCGCCAGAAGTGGCTTAGTCATGCTGGCCACATGACCCGGAAGCTGTACGCCGGCTCCCTCGGCCAATAAAGTGAGATGAGTGCGGCAACCCCAGAGTCGTTCGCGGCTGGACTTAACCTTTACCTTTATGGCTGCAATGAATTCTTTTTGTAAGGGGATACTTTTTCCATAAAAATCTTTTAGTCTATAAAGGCCCACCTGTTCCCAACCATTCCAATCTAAGTATTCCCCCGCTTCTTTAAAAGATGGGTGAAAGTGAAGAGGGATAAGGGGAGAAATTAGGGGAGCCAGGTTTTTTAAACTTTGTTTTCCATACATTTAGTGTGGTGTGGAGGAAAGGGTTCACAATGGTACGGGTTTTAGTGAGTGAGGAGGGTAGAAAGGGATATGCTCTATATACTGGATCTGAAATTTATCTACTCATAGTTTACCTTTTTGCCTGAGGATTAGTGGCATCAAATGCTTTAGCTGGAAGGCATTGTAATAAGTTTGGAGATGTGGGATTCCAAACCTGCCATTTTTGACACTTCCATATATAATTCTGGAGCCTAGTTGTGCTCCCCCCCCTCATGAATAAACTTGTTTATTGAGCACTGCCAAATTTCAAATTGTTTGGGTGCAATCATAATTGACAGCACTTGAAAGAGAAACAAAAATTCCAGCAGGATAGCAATCTTTACCGCAGCTATGTGTCCTGACAATGATGAACGCAGGTCTCTCCAAAATTCAAGACATTGTTGTACCTGTCAGAATACTGGTGTAAAGTTTGCTTTCTTTAGAGCCAATAGATTTTTAGTTATCTGCACTCCCAAATATTTTATTACCTTGTGGCAGGTTTTAAAACCTGTCTTTGAATGATTAATTGGTCAGGTCAAGGAATGCCTATATACATTATTTTTTATTTGGATTTGTTGATTTTGAATCTGGCCACTTTACCATAATTATCTGGTTCTTTCATTAATACAGGTGTTGCAGCTTTTGGGTTAGAAAGCAATATTGCTATATCATCTGCAAAAAGGCTTATTTTATGCATTTCTAATGGAGATGGTGGTTCAACTGATAAGGGAAACAAGAGGGGTGACAGAGGGTGTCCCTCTTGCAATGGAGTCTATACCATTCACCCTAACCTGAGCATATGAGTTCTTATATAGTCTCATGATAGAATTCATAAAATATTGTTCCATGTTCACTTTTGATAACAACACTTCTAGGAACTGTTACACACATCTAGTGATATGACTGCTAGTGGTAAACCTTTGCTTTTGCTTGATGAATGGCATTTAGTAGCCAGCGAATTGGATCACAGATCTGTCCTTGGGGTATGAACCCAACTTGATCCGTGGTAATGTAGGAAGAAATAAATGTGTTGAGCGTTGCAGTAAAGATTGCTGTAAAGATTTTAGCATCTTGATTTAAAAGAATTATTGGTCTAGATGATTCTACTGACTCGGGATTTTTCCCTGGCTTAGGTATAACTATTATTTTAGAGTGTTGCCAGGAGGTTGGTACTTGACCACCTGAAAGATTGTCATTAAATAGAGAGGTTAATCTTGGGATCAAAATCTCACTGAATTGCTTATAGAAGTTTGCAGTGTAACCATCTGAGCCCTGGGCTTTATAGCCCTTCAATTTTTTGATTACTGCTGCTACCTCATCAGGTTCTATAGGTTGGTTTAAGTAGTCCCTGTGGGTGTAATTTAGTTTAGGTAATGGAATTCTTTCCAAGTATTCTGTAATTGTTGGGAGGGAGGGGATAGTATCAGCATATAAAGAGGCATCGAAATCTCTAAACATATTACACTTATCATTATCATCATATTTAAGGATACCTGTCTTATACCTTAGCTGGTTTACTATCTTATTGTTAATTCTTTTCCGGATATGGTTAGCAAGCATCTTAGAGTTCTTATCACAATGTTCATAATATTTTTGGTTGAGGAAAAGCAAGATTTTTGATGTTTCCAAGGCTGTGAGTTCTGCTCTCTTAGCATTCAAGGACCTTAAAGTCTTCTTCCCTCCATCTCTTTTGTGCTTTAGTTCAAGCTGCCTTATCTCCAGTAGTAGATGATCTGATTCTTTGGCGGTCTTTCTTTTGATTGCTGTCACCTTGCTAATGCAGGTTCCCTTGATGACCGCCTTCATAGCTTCCCAGACTGTTGTAAGAAGCATTCTGTCTGTGGTTTTAATATCAAAGTACAGTCGTTCTTTAATACTGAATAGAGGTGGTCTGTTGCCAGCTTGTTCTGCAGGAGAATTGCAGGAAATATCCAGCCAGGCGATGACTTGGGTTTTTCTTGGAGATGTAAGGTGGCCCACACTAGAGCATGGTTGGAAACAGTGAGACAGCCAATCTCTGACCCAACAACTCTTTGAAAGTCATGACAAAATTGAGACACAAGTATGATGAGTAGTGACTTGGGGGGGGGGGAGTCCTTTGTATTTGGGTGGAGCTCTCTCTGTATGTCTGTTAGGCTGTGTTCGCGAAGTATGGATTCCAGTGCTGAGGGCATTTTATGTGAGTTGGTTACAGTGGGACCTGTTCTGTCCAGTTGGGGGTCTTGTACAAGATTTAAATACCCTCCTAATAGCACCATGCCTTCCTGGAATCCAGATAGTTCTTGCATAGCGAGTTGGAGAAATTGTAACTGTCCTTTGTTCGGAGAGTAAAGTGAGACTATAGTTAGTTGATGCTGTTACTTTGGCCTTTGACAAATACATAGTGGTCTTTCTCTTGTCTGTCAAAGTTCCCTTGAGGGAAAAAATATGACTGTTGGAAATTAGCACTGCTTCCCCTCTTCCTTTTGATGAGCCAGTAGATTAGATCTGGACATCAAAGCCTTTGGGACAAATAATTCTATCCATTTGCTTCTTCGAGTGCGTTTCCTGTAGGCATATTATTTTAGGTTTTTCCCGCTTGAGCATTAGCTTGACTTGTTGGTGTTTCACCGGTGAGTTGAGGCCATTGGCATTTATGATGAGTATTTCTATAGTTTTCATATCAACCATTGGGCTAGCTTAGTGTAAGTTGGCTAGGAAATTATACAAAACTCTTTAACTTAGTTATTGTTTTGATAGGTGGCATGAGGTAGGTCAGAGCAATAGCATGAATGGGATGAAATTCAAAGATGTAATCCAACAATAAAACACAAACAACTTACAAAGTTCTGCGAGAATGGTCTTGAGAAGAGGTGGTCTATCCTCTCAATTTTTATCACCATTCATTTTTTGAGAGTAAATATAAGTGGACGTTGAAGTAAAAAACTTAGTCAATTTAACATTTCTTTAAATTTCCCAGTGCTTGGTTGCTTCATTCACTTTGAGTCCATGTGTCTTGATGCTTCCTTGTTACGCTTGCAGCTAATAATGCACAATTGCGTGTGTGCATGCGCTATTTCCCTGTTGTTATTTAAGAGACTAGGTATTCTGTTGACTACTGCTCTGGTGTCTTCTTATGACTCCCAGGACATGGTGAGTTTCAGTACGCTGAAAGCGGCGCTTTTTAGAAGGTTTTTTTGTTGATCTTGCTGCTGCTGCCAACCTAGTCCTATCTCATCATCAGATGAGTCTGAGTTACTAGTGCTGGTTTGGGGGTTGCTTGGTAGAGACAGTTTTAGCATGCTCAGGAATAGTCTTGTCTCCTTGTGTGTTGATGCTTCATGCTGTGCCCTGTCCAGCGGCACTATCAGATGGGATGGGTAGCCCCATCTATAGCAGATTCCAGCGTTTTGAAGTATTCCTGTACACTATATGGCTTAAAGGCACGTCTGCATTTTAAGGTTGCCAGACACAAAACTTGCATAATGTCAGAGCTGGCTCCAGGTCCCAGCTCACAGAGGACCAACGCTAGCCGGCAGTAATGTACAAAAGTCTTTATTGAAGTACAGTTTCCATTTTCAAGCCGGAGCGCCCCAGCTCTACGTCTAGGGGTTAGATCGGCGAAGCTCCATCTGAGTCTCCGCCCCCTGTACACCAGTTTAAGATTCTAGCCTTACTCCACCTCTTACGTCTCTCCTTTCTCCTCTGGGTCCTGCTACCCCCCGGGGTCCCTTCCTTCCTGGATTCTTCTGACGCTGACCCTCCTGACTCCTCCCCCTCTTTTCGGCGGGCTTTGGGACCTGGCTCCCTATCCGGGCTGCCAACTGCGCCGCCCTCCTGTACATTTGAACTTGGCGCGCGCGCCCAGCCTTCAACCTTCCTCTCGACCGTTTCCTCGCTCCCCGATGGAGGCGTGGCCAATCCTGACTCATGTCCTCCCACTGGCAGTGCGCCGCCTGATCCCGATGCCTGGGACTCCTCCCCCCTACTGCACTCTGGTGTGGACGCTGGTCCTGATTTCCAACTGCTGCTCTCTGAGTCCCCTCTGGCCCCTTCTTCCTGGGGTGTCCCCCTCGGCACCCCCTTGCTCTGACCAAGGGAGCCCCTTTCTGTGAATCTTCCGATTCGCTGGAAAGACTCAGAGACCTCGGACCGCTGTCATCGCTAACATTTCCTTCGGACTCCTCCCCCTCGCTCTCTATTTCCTCCCTTTCCTGTGCCTCTGCTCCTGAACCCCTGACATCCATCCCCCCCTCGAAGCCCCCCCATCCCCCCACCCCTCCTTCAGGTGTGGGTACTGGGTGCTCCGTCGTTGTGGGGGTGAGTGCCGGATACAGTTCGTCCCCCGTGGCGTGCATCCAGCCGGATAAGTCCGGCTCGTCCTCCGTGCTCTCGCCGACCTCAATTTCCTCTGCTTCCATCTCTTTGCCGCCGTGCTCGACCCAAGGTCCTCCCCCAACACGTCCATGTCCGTCTCTCCCCGGTCTCCTCCGGGGACGTTGCCTGCCAAGGACCCCCCAACCACTTCCTGCGCCACTGCTCCTCTGGTTGATTGTCCCACCAATAGGAACGGTCTGAGGCAGACCCGAGGGTGATCCCTCCGGGAACGTGTTTCTAGTGCCGGTTCCTCGTCCGAGGTGAACCCCTGGAATGTGCTAGCTGAAAATGTGGGTGTGAAAAGCCAGTCGTCGAAATACTCGGCTGGCATGGGCCTGTGTGGGAAAAGTGCATGGAACTCGTCCTTAAGCCAAGATTCCTCCAGAGCATAATCTGGCACCCAACTGTTGGCGCTAGCCGTGTTACCTTCCTTGGCGAGGAGGTATTCCACTCCCTCCTCCCCCCATCTCGAGTCTAAAATCTCTGTGACTTCGTTGACGGGTTCCCGCCTTGGCGACCCCCCCCTTGTGGGCGTTTCCCTGAACGGGTCTGGTGCCGTTCCTGGCTCCTGAAATCTATGAGGTGCTTTGTAGGGCGTGAGCACTGATCTATGGAAAACTGGGTGCATTCTGGATCCCTCCGGCAGTGTCAACCGGAAGGCCACTGGATTGACCTGTGCCTCGACTTGGTAGGGTCCTAGCTGCTTATGCCCTAGCTTCTTCTTCGCTAACGATCTGGCCGGCACTGCCTGGGCTGCTAACCAAACCCAGTCTCCCACCTGTATGTCTTCCCCAACCCTTCTGTGCTTGTCAGCCTGCAGTTTGTATGCGTGCTTTGCTAGTTCTAACTGCCTCCGAAGCTGTTCGTGAACCTCCTGCAACTCTGATGCTAAGGCTTCCGCTGCCTGTGGCTCCCCCTCCCCCGCTCTCGCTAATCCCGGGAAGGTTCTGGGATGCCTCCCGTTGTTGGCGAAGAACGGTGTCACCCCCGTGGACACGTGCTTCGTGTTGTTGTAGGCGAACTCAGCGAGCGGCAGGTAGTCCACCCATGTTGCCGGCTGCTGATTTGCGTAGCATCGCAGGTACTGCTGCATGATGGCGTTGACTCGCTCCGCTTGTCCGTTCGTCTGCGGGTGTCTCGCCGACGCTAGGTTGATCTTGACGTTCAGGAAACCCATCAGCTTCTGCCAGAAGTTCGAGATGAACTGTCGCCCCGGTCGGACAGGATGGACCGTGGCAGACCGTGAACCCTGAACACGTGGTCTATGAACAGTTTGGCGGTCTGTTCCGCCGTGGCCACCTTCGCGCACGGAATGAAGTGGGCCATTTTGGTGAACATGTCCACCACCACTAGCACTGCCGTCTTGCCCCTCGAGCTGGGTAGATCCGTGACAAAGTCCAGGGCCACCCTCTCCCACGGTTCGAGCGGTGTCTGCAGCGGTTCGAGCAGTCCCGCCGGCTGTTTGTGCACTGACTTGGCCCTTTGGCAGGTGTCGCACCTCGAGACGTAATCCGCGACTTCCCCCCCGCATCTTGGGCCACCAAAAATCTCTGGCTACTAATTCTACCGTCTTCTCTTTGCCAAAGTGCCCGGCGGTGGGTGCGTCGTGCAACTGCTGCAGTACTTTCGCGCGGAGGTCGTCTCCCGGTACGTAGAGGGCCCCTCTGCGGATGAGCAATCCGTCGCGTATCTGGAACTCGTCGTCCTCCGCCGTGCCCCTTTGCACCTCTGCCATCTTTGCTTGCGCGAAGGGGTCCTCCTGCAGTGCTCGACGTACAGCATCCAGGTCCACGGTTGCTGAAGCGCACGCCCACGCTTTCGGTGCGAAAATGTGCTTGGCCGCTGCTGGTGCCGCCTCCTCGAGGTATTGCGGCTTTCTGGACAGTGCATCCGCCATGATGTTGTTGTCGCCTGGGATGTACTCTATCCTGAAGTCGAAATCCGCAAAGAACTCCGCCCATCGTATGTGCCTCTGGTTCCAGGAACCTTGCCGTGCGCCAGTACTCCAGGTTTTTATGGTCCGTGCGGACCTGCACTGTGTGTTTGGCTCCAATGAGGAAGTGCCGCCACGCCTTGAATGCTGCATGAATGGCCAGCAACTCCCTGTCCCAGATGGTGTAGTTCTGCTCTGACTTGCTGAGCTTCCTGGAGTAGAAGGCACACGGTCTCCAGTCCCCATGCGGGTCTTGCTGCAACAGTACTGCTCCCACGGCTCTGTCTGAGGCGTCCGTTTCCAACCCTCATCGGTCTGCTGGGATTCACATGCAGTAGCTGCTCTTCGGACGAGAAGAGACGGCTTGAGTTTCTGAAAGGACTGCTCCGCTTGCTCCGTCCAGATGAACTTCTTCTTCTTGGAGCTGAGCGTGTCGGTAATGGCCGCCGTCTGCATCGCGAACCCCTTGATGAACTTGCGGTAAAAGTTGGCGAAACCGACAAACCGCTGGACCTCCTTCCGATTGCGCGGGCTCTTCCAGTCCAACACTGAGCGAACCTTGGCGCTGTCCATGGCGAGCCCCTTGTCCGACAACTTGTAGCCCAGGAAATCTACCTCCTTCATGTCGAACTGGCACTTCTCCAGCTTGGCGTACAGCCTGTGCTCCTGCAGTCTCTGCAGAACTTCCTTGACGTCTCCCTCGTGGGTCTCCTCTGATTCTGAAAATATCAGGATGTCGTCCAGGAAGCAGACGCATTTCTTGTAGAGGAGACCCGCCAATACGTGATGCATGAAGGCTTGAAAACAGTGGGAGCCATTTTGTAATCCAAAGGGCATAACTCTGTATTCATAGGTGCCCAGGGCGTGAACATGGCAGTCTTCCATTCGTCGCCCTCCCGTATGCGAATCAGGTTGTACGCCCCTCGCAGATCCAACTTTGTGAAAACGCGTCCTTTCCTCACCGTTGCGAGCAGGTCATCTATCTTGGGCATGGGAAAGGCTGTGGGCTTGGTTTTCGAGTTCAAAATTCTATAGTCCACCACAAGCCTTTTTTGGGGCGTGTCCTTCTTCTTCACAAAGAATACAGGACTGCCCCCCACTGCCTTCGACTCCTGGATGAAACCGCGCTTCAAGTTGAGGTCTATGAACTCCCTGAGTTCCTGCAGCTCGTCTTCAGACATGGAATACAGTTTCCCGGTTGGCAGCGTCGCCCCTGGCAGGAGGTCAATCTTGCAGTCATAAGACCTGTGGGGAGGTAGCTTGTCCGCTTCCTTCTCGCAGAAAACCTCCAAAAACGCTGCGTACTTGAGTGGCACTGCTTGCAGCGTGCCTAATTGTAGCTGCGGGTCATCCTCTTCCCCTTCCGGGCTAGGCAGAATGCAATGTTCCGCACAGTATGAGGAGCCGAAGGTCAGTTGTCGCTGGTACCACGCCAATGCTGGGCTGTGCCTGTGCAGCCAACTCATGCCTAATACTATAGGCGTGTCCGACAGTTGGGTGACATTGAAGCTGATGACTTCTCGGTGATTCCCAATTTGCATCACCATCGGAGGCGTTTGCTGCACCACCTGCCCCCAGCAATTCCCTGCCATCCACCGTGACAACTTTCAGAGGCAGCGTGGCTGGCAGGAGTGCTATGTTGTGCTCTTGAAGGAAATCCAGTCCTATGAAGTCTGCGTTACTACCAGAGTCAATGGTAATCGGCACTTCCATAGTGAGTCCATTGGGTAGTTGGAGCGATGCTGTGAGCTGCACCACTGGTTTGGGCGGGAGGGGGTCTGTGGGCTGCAAAATCTCTGGGGACGGCTTCATTGACTTGTCTGGTTGGGCCCCAGTGCCTCTTCCTCCAACCAGACTCTGTCGTTTCCCTGCTGTGGTTCTCTCTGCTGAGTTGCTTCTGTTACTGTTGCTGAGGCTGCAGTGTGCTTGTGGAGCCTCTGGGGACACTCTTTCGCCATGTGCTGAGCACTGTCGCAGATGTAGCACTTCCTGTTCCCTCTAGGAGGCTTCGCTTTGACTGCTCCCGGTGTTAAGGCTCTGGTTGCTGACTGAGCCCTGGCGCCTCCAATCTCCATCGGTTGCTCTCCCCCTCCTTGCGGAGGTGGGGATTGCACACGCGCTGCATCCTTGGGAAAGAGGGGAGGTGCTCTCACTGGCGTACGTCCCCAACGTCCTTCTTCTCTGTTCCATGGACGTTCTTCCAGACGCACCCCAATTTGCAGCGCCCGCCGGACAACCTCCTGAGTGCTCTTTGGTCTCTCCCCCCTTGCAATCTCATCTTTCACATTTGCATTCAAGCCTTCCCAAAAAAGGTCTCTGGCTGGGGCAGAATCCTTCTCCCATCCCAGCGCATGGACTAATGCAAAAAAGCGGGAATGGTACTGCCTTACACTGGCTCTGCCTTGTTTGAGCCCATGTATGTCTTTTCTGGCGATATCAATGTCTATATTTGATAAAAAACACGAATCCATCGCTTTAATGAATGCATCCGCATTTTGGAGCGCCGGATCCTTATCTCTCCACAGATTGCGCAGCCACGCTTTAGCTTCCCCATGCAAATGGGACAAGATAAACCCCACCTTCTCTTGCTCATCTCTAAAGTCTTTATCCAGCAGTTCCAGCGCAAACAGCACGTCTGCTCGGAAGTTAGGGTACTGCTGCAAATTCCCATCGAAATGAGATACCAGGCTGCCTCCTCTTTTCCCCAGCCCAATCCCCTCTGATTTGGGTCCCGGTTGCCCCTGCTTAGCAAGCACTTCCAACCTGGCTTGGAGATCCCTGCAGGCGGCAGCCGCTTCCTCTTCCCTTTTCCTGGATGCGAGTACCTCCGCGTTGAGTTGTGTCACTGCATTTTGCAGGGCTGCTAGTTGCTGTTCTGTAGTCATCTTGCCTGACTTTTGTGAGCTCGCGAAGCACCAATCTTCTTCCCTCGCTGCGTCCACTCACGTTACGAGGTTTTTGGTGCAAAACTTTTGGAGATGGAGCTTACTGTCAGAGCTGGCTCCAGGTCCCAGCTCACAGAGGACCAACGCTAGCCGGCAGTAATGTACAAAAGTCTTTATTGAAGTACAGTTTCCATTTTCAAGCCGGAGCGCCCCAGCTCTACGTCTAGGGGTTAGATCGGCGAAGCTCCATCTGAGTCTCCGCCCCCTGTACACCAGTTTAAGATTCTAGCCTTACTCCACCTCTTACGTCTCTCCTTTCTCCTCTGGGTCCTGCTACCCCCCGGGGTCCCTTCCTTCCTGGATTCTTCTGACGCTGACCCTCCTGACTCCTCCCCCTCTTTTCGGCGGGCTTTGGGACCTGGCTCCCTATCCGGGCTGCCAACTGCGCCGCCCTCCTGTACATTTGAACTTGGCGCGCGCGCCCAGCCTTCAACCTTCCTCTCGACCGTTTCCTCGCTCCCCGATGGAGGCGTGGCCAATCCTGACTCATGTCCTCCCACTGGCAGTGCGCCGCCTGATCCCGATGCCTGGGACTCCTCCCCCCTACTGCACTCTGGTGTGGACGCTGGTCCTGATTTCCAACTGCTGCTCTCTGAGTCCCCTCTGGCCCCTTCTTCCTGGGGTGTCCCCCTCGGCACCCCCTTGCTCTGACCAAGGGAGCCCCTTTCTGTGAATCTTCCGATTCGCTGGAAAGACTCAGAGACCTCGGACCGCTGTCATCGCTAACATTTCCTTCGGACTCCTCCCCCTCGCTCTCTATTTCCTCCCTTTCCTGTGCCTCTGCTCCTGAACCCCTGACACATAATAAGAGATCTTCTGGCCCTCCCATTCTAGACTGTCAAGTATACAAAATTCCTTTAAATTGCCTGCTTAATAGAAAGGCATGAAAGCCTTAAAATAATGTCTCTGGGGCTGCAGTTGACAGTTTGGAAGCACTGTCCTGCTCTGTATGCAAACTCTAGATCAGAGGCCTTATGTTTAAGATTAGGGAATACTTGATTAAACCAGGAGATCATAAAAGAGAGTAAATCTTGGCCTTCCATAAATTCTGGTAGGCCTCTCACCTACAGATGGAAGTGGCAAAAATGATTGCCTGCTTCCTCCATATGAAACTAGTTATGGTCGCCAGTTTCTTGATTTTCGCCTCCTGTCTGATTCCTAACTTTATAGCTCCATTTGCAGTATTTGAGGCCTCAGAGATCTGGGCTTCTGTTATGTTGAGTCTTTTCTCAATCAGAGTCAAAGCTGCTTTTAATTCTAATGCCAAATCTTCCCTGAGATTCTGTCTCAGCTTTTCCAGGTGGGTAGTGAGCTAAGTGAGAAGGTAACTGGCAATTGCTTTGTCTTTCTTAGAGAGCTTTGCTGTCTCAGCTGCCACGCTTGGTCCTAGTTCCTCCTGCTGCTCAGAAGTTTGCAGTTGATTTCCTGATACACCTGATTTTTTGTGTGTCCATTCTGCTGTTAATTGGGGTCCCTGGAGCATAAACTATGAAGATCTTGTTTCACAGAGTCAATTTTTTAAGGTTTTCAACTTAAATTGGAGGTTTGATAGTGCACGGGTTGTTAGAGTAAAAGAATTAGGCAGCCATCTTGCTTGATGACATCACACACACACTTCCTCTTTCTTCACAAGCTGAGGGATAACTACGTTTGTAGTTTGCAGCAGAAGTTAGTCTTCAAGATGCCATAAGACTAACATATTTACCATGGAATAAGCTTTCACGGGCAAGACTCAGAAGCCACAGCCAGTAGTTGGGTTATTTTCTTGCTTTTACAGCACCCCTTGGTTCTGAAAGAAAGGGGGAAAATGCATAAGGAGCTGCTAGCTATTTGTGAAGAAAATGTTCCATTTTTTAAAAAAAGAAAATCAGTAGCAAGTGTAATTTTTGTCACATGCATCTGTTGCTATCACCTCTCACTTTGTGCTGAAGTGTTCACCAGAGCATTTACAGAAGTGATTCTTCCTCCCACCCCTGACATCTGCCACCCAGAATCCTACATTATTCATCAGCGTGCTAATGGCAGGTGATGAGATCTTTTCACGCTACATCCCTCTCAGTAGGTGTTTATTACTCTGTTCACCAGCAGCCCTGCTATTACTGCAGGGCCAGAAGAACTCTACATACTCGCTTGACAGGTAATAGGAAATGTGCTCTGCTCACTTGGCTCACGAGTGTAGATGAAGGTTATTACGAGGGCAGCCGCAATATCGTGGGTCCTAAGATGGCGGTCACCTTAAATGAACAGCTAAATTTTGGAAATCCATACAAATCATGTCGGCAGCATGATAATCCATCTTCTTTACCTTCTATCATTTCAGCAGTCATCATGCTGTAATAATTTCCTTTTGCTTCACCTGTGGTCTCTCAGAATAAAGGGGGTGGAAGGCTGGGGGTGGAAGAAGCAAAGAAAAAGAGAATGAGTTTGGCTTAGTGTCTGAAGATGAGGCTGGCAAAAGCGATATCTCTATCCAGTAAGCAGGAATCTACTGTGCGCCCGTGTAGTGGGGTGTGTTGTGTGTGTAATAGTCTAATAACCAGCAGTGAATGGTCTTGCCTTATTTCTTAAGAAACAGCTTGACAAGTGAGACATTGTTTCTAATGATTTATGTGGAGCCTTGTGACAAAAATTACAGACTGGAAGCATACCATCGCATGGCAGCAGTGGAAAATGAGGAAATTATTTTTTTACTTTAGTGAACTCCATTTACTAAAACGATTCCTTGTTGTTGCTGTTTCTCCGTTCTTGTTACAGGTAGGTACACTTTGTAGAATAACCAAAATAAATGGAAGATGGTTTTTGTTTTGTTTTTTAAGAAAATGAACTCAACAACAAAAATTACCCTTACCTTTTTATATAAAAAGAAACCTTCTGTGCTCAATGGGCATTTTACGCAGAATATGGCAATGAAAGAGGTTCCCATACCTAACCGTGTAAGGATGACTCATAAAGGGGATTTCACACAAATCCCTCCATGTGTTGAAAGAATAAGTGGGGGCATTTGTGGGACTGTACAGGTTAGCCATTCCCACAGCTGTCACCCTCCCTCAGTGTCCATACATCTTATACATGTCGAAAGCAAAGTAAGCGCTCACCAGTGTTTCATTGCATTCGACTGGAGTTTTCCTCCAATCATGTTTGAGCTGCCTCCCAGTTTGTTTCTTCGTTCTAAGCTCCGGAGTATATCAGGGAGCGAAGCAGGAGAGGGTGCTTGGGATGATTGTGCCATATCAACCAGAAAATCCCCCAGTGCTGTCTGGAAGCCCATTGCATCCTTCAGCCTCCAAGAGTGGACCATACCAATAGGTCCCCCACCTCTGCAGAGGGGATGTGGTGTTGAAAGCCTAAATCTCAACTGGAAGTAATCTGAACACAACAAGGGACTGAAGTCACTATATCCACTTTTAAATCACCAGCCCAGTGAAAACAAGGTCCAGAGTGTGGTCTGCCACATGTGTTGGGCGGGTGACATGTTGGAACAGCCCCATGGTTGTCATGGCAGCCGGGAAGTCTTGAGCCGTATTAGAGCCAGTCTCCTAGACAATGAGGTTGAAGTCCCCCAGTACCAGCAGAATTCTCAACACCGCTCTGATTAGTTGAATTGCATCTGTGGGTGTGGATGGACACTCTCATCCACTCTAAGATACTGTTTGGATGTATCCCAAAGGCGCAATCCAGTAGTAATGTGCTTTGTACCTGCCCCATTGGAATGAATGGGAGTGTTTTTACAGTTTCCCATTCATTTCAGTGCAAATCTTTGTGCCTAAATCATTTTTTCATTGTCAACACAGTGATTAATAGAAGCCCCTATTTCATGGCTTTCAAGAGCTCTACAGCAGGAAGTTTAATAAACCATTAAAAAATGTCTTACTGGACTGCCATAAAAGTATTCAGAGGTCAAAGTAATTTTTTTATCTTGTCAAAGAAATGAACAGCCTTGTTTTTACCAGCGCAATGTTTCATTTTCTAATATAGTCTTTAAATTAGCATGATAGGGACAAGCTACATAAACATTCATGTAGACATATTTAGAAGTAGAAGCCCATAATT